GGACGATGTCGAAATCGAGGTGGTCTCCACATATAAGTACCCCGGAGTCCACCTAGATAATTTGGACGACTCAGTGCAGGCAAATGCGGCACACAAAAAGGAGCAAAGCTGACTACTTCCTTAAAAAACTTATGTCGTTGTATGTGTGTAGGGACAGGCTTTTCCTCTTTTATCAGTCAGTTGTGGCCCGCGCTGTTCTGTTTGCTGTTGTCTGCCTGGGAAACAGCATTACTAACAGGGACAGGAGCAGAATAGACAAGTTCATCAGGAGGTGATGAGGAGGGAGGCGGTCCCTATGAAGGAACTGGTGGAGAAAAGGACTAGGGCAATGATGAAGTCCATAAGGAACAATGGGAGCCATGCATTGTACAGCACTAAGGCGGCTCGGGAAAGCAGCCATAATTCAAGACTGATCTCTGTGAGATGCAGAACAGAGAGATACAGATCTTTTGTCCTGACTGCCATTAGACATTTTAATGCCTCTGAGCACTGAGGTTTTTTTATTATTATTATTACATAATTTTGTGATTTTTATCCTATTTTATATGTTTTTAATCTTTGCACAGGCAGGTGAATTTCCCCTATTGGGAATTAATAAAATAACTATCTATCCATCTATGTAAACAAACAGGTTAACTACAATTTAATACAATATAAGGTTTAAAATTATTTCATTCATTAATGGGGAAAAAATTGGCCATACATAATCATATTCATATGGTGTGATGAAGATTTGGGGGTACTCTGCTGCCTCAGGAGGTTGGTAATTTGTTGATACTTTACTTTTGGTACCAAAACATAGTAACGTAGCATTAAACTCTATCACACTTTGGTTGAGCTGTAGCACAAGGATCCAATACACAGTAGCATCAGCATCTCTAAAAAATAAAAACAAAAAAAAGCAATGTCCTAACCAAAATCTAGAATTTTGTATCAGATACTGTAAACTTAAACATGCCTACATATCTGATGTGGTTGAAAGTGGTGATGTTAAAGACTTATACTCTGTTATCACAAACTGTTAGGTTTAAACATCCAAACACTTATTAAATAACCTGGGGAAGAAAGACAAGAACATTAGATTATTTTTACTGGCGAGGAGAACGGACTGAGATTTGCTCAGTTATAATCTCCGACCAGCTCTGAAGCACATTCGGTAGAACTGCGCTGATGGATGAGGGAAGTAGCTGCAATGTTATCTACACAATACAAGCATAAGCAGTCTCTAAAAGCTTCATCTTGGGGTCAAAGCATGTCGCTATCTTCTGGTTCCAGGAAAAGCTCCTTCTGTCGCAAAAGTACACTTGTGGTTTTAGTTCACAGTTCTCTATATTTATCAAAACAGCCCACTTGTCTGGGGTGAGTCAAAAGGTGCAGTTCCTCTTCTGGAAAGACACTCGGCACAGAAATAAGTACAAAGGCCTCCCTGGGGTCATTACATACAAATAAGTAGTTCAGTATAAAAGCAGAAAATGTGTAAATATGAGATAACTATAAATAAATCTGTTCTATCACACCTGTCAGTTTTTGTTGCTAAAGATTGCACAGCTTTAGGTCTCAGGCAAAGGGCGCATTAATGCCAAGCTTATTGAATGATTAATGAATGAATTATTTTGAATCTGCTTTTTATATTTATATATTATTTGATAAAATATAAAATTGTGTTCGATGATCTGAAACACTTTAGGTGGGATAATAAAGCTAAAACATAGGATCTCTGTAACCTTTCATATCATTGTGTTCTAATCTGGCATACAAAGTATCTAATAGACTACCCTGGATGCATTATTTTGATATAATTTTACTCACCTAGAGTAAGTAAATTACAGAATATAGTACTGCATGTGATCTATTACTTACAGAAGAGGATAGTGGGCACTGAAAAAAAAAAGTTCACTGATTAAAAATTTTATTTCAGTTTAATATGGGGAAAAAGTCAGAATTCTGACTTCTTTCTCAAAATTTTGACTTTTTTCTCAGAATTCTGACTTTAATCTAAAAATGTTGACTTTAATTTCAGAATTCTGACTTTTATCAGAATTCTGACTTCTTTCTCAGAGTTCTGACTTTTTTCTTAGAATTCTGACTTTAATCTCAAATTTCTGACTTTTTCCCCATATTAAACTTATTAAAAATCAGTTAACTTTTTTTTATTTTTTCATGGGCCCTAATCCTCTTCCATAATTACTGGATCAAAATAAAAAAAAATAAAAAACAACTTCAATAAGTTCCTCCCAGCACTTGTATGTTTATGTATTCCTAATGTTTCAAATTGCCTCCTTATCCTGAACATTGCTTAAGGTATCCAGTCTTGAGATGCTGGGTGTAGATACGGCAGTGTTGCTGTTTGACCATCAGAAGCCTAACTTGGAGGTATGGGAGTTAAGCAGCAAAGGAGCTGCCTCATTCTTGGCTTCCAAGGACACCCTCAGCAGTTTTGCTTTGCATTTTAAAGGTTTGCACAAACTGACATAAAAACCTTAAAACTAAGAAATCGCACAATGAACTTGCTGCTCACAGTATTTACCTATTTTTGCATTTGGTTTTTTAGGAAGGTCTTCATTTGCTTCTCCTACCAAACATCCAGCTGATGATGTCATTAAGAAAGTGCAGGAGATCTTCAACAAAAAATACAGTAAGAATACAAGATATCCTGTGTAGTTATGGCCAAACTAGGCTTTACCTATTTGATGTTTTTAAACATTTTTTTTACTGTATTTCTCTGCACATAATCATCCTGGACAACTTGAGCTCTGTAGTGATCAGCCACTCGGCTGCCCCTCCCTTACGTCTATTATTTGCAGCTTTTTAAAACATTTACTTCTGGTTTCAGATGAAGCAGGTGGTAGAGGCCGTCTACCTTACCAGTCTCTTCAAAACCAGAGCATTGTGATAAATGCTTCCGGACTGCCTGGTGGTCTGACCCTGAAGAAGCCCTCTCACTACGGAAGGAAACAATTGGAAGACATTTTAAAGGCTGCAGAGCAAATTTCCTTTCAAATCGGTAATTAGCTGCTCTTTAATATTAATTATATTTCATGATAATCATCTGATTATAAGGTATATATAAGAATATAATGTGTGGGTGGTTTTTGAGGAAGATATTCAGTTTTATTCTTATTACTTTTTTATATTTTTGTGTCTGTTTCTTTTTCTATGTCTCCTTGAACGCCAGTCGGCCTCGACTCAGCTGCTGACACCCCAGTTCACACATTTTAGCTTCTATGAGGAGTTCTGCTGGTTTCCAAAATACAAATACAGGATGGAAGGAGAAATGTTAAGGAAGAGGCCTTGATGAGAATGTAGTAAGAGTTCTATGACCAGATAATGAATGAGAGAAAGTAGTATTACAGACAGAGCAGAGGTTATGTATGGTTTTTAAGAAAGATTTTCAAATGGCATATTAAATGCAGGGTACTTTATTTCTGTGATATTTAGCTCCAAAAAGCCGTCCGTGTTTGAGATCTGTCTGTTATGACTAAATTACAACAATTTTGCAAAAAAGAAGTGCCAAAATCCTCACAGACACTTTTTAGAAGCTGTTTCTGTTAAGGTTGGAACAGTAAATCTATAGATAATGGGGTGTTTATTTCTTCTCAGAGAGCCATGGTAGTTTGTTCATATGTATTGTCTTTTTTATAAAATGAGGAATCATTTTAATAACTTAGGTCATAATAGAAATATTAAGCATGACTTTGTCTGACACTGAAAATGGCTTATAATTGTAGAGCACATTAAAGGTATGGAGGAGGATGTTCTTTATCTGGGTGGATCATCAAAATAATTGTCCTCCTAATTGCCATTCATTCTGGTGATATGTTTACGTAAGGCCGCTCTACGTGCTCGTCCCCATTTTCACTTACCTGTGCAGAGTCTGACATTGTGGAAAAATTGCAAATCTTTTATAAAGAAAGCTTTTATGAGCGATGCAGACAGCAACTTTTAAACAGAGCGTGCACGAGGAGAAATGGACTCATGCACGCTCTCGCACGAGTTTAATAGACGTTCCCTTTAGAGCACAGGTGTCAAAGTGGTTCCAGAAAGGGCAATGAACATGATGACTTGATGAAATGACTGGAGTCTGGTGCGCTATTGCTTGGTTGGAAAGAAGACCTGCAGCCACACGGCCCTTTCTGGAACCACATTGACACCCCTGCTCTAGTGATTGGGTACAGGGTTGTGCATGTGCATTCGCTTTTTTTAAGTTGAGTGGGTGGGTATTTTTTTAAAATTCACAAAAATCTTCCACTATACCTTTAAGTTTTTCACAATAGAGGGAGTGGCCAGAAGTAGTGCTACTTTATCATATTTTTTACTCAGGTTAAAGTAAAAAGTACAATGCTGTAAATACTCCTTAAAGCAAATTGTATACAAAAACTGAATTGTTTACTGAATTAAATGTAGCTATTTACTACCCCCCGCTGCTACTTTGGTAATTCTAAGTAAGCAGATCTAACAAAAGGGGAAAAGAACAAAACAAAACAAAAAACTGAAGGGAAAATTATTTGAAACAAAATTCCAGATTTTATTTATGACAGAATTTCTATATTACTTGTGGACATTCTGAAATAATAAAAAAGAATCAGTAAGACCCTGAAATGTTGACACAATCCTGTGACCAAAAAAAAAAAGAGAGACACACCAGATCAGCATGGGTAAGTTTTATTATTACAATGATTTCAAACTATTTGGCTCTTGAAAAAGTAAAAACCACAAAGACCAAATTAAGTAGGAGTCATAAACAGCCAAAAAGCTTAAAGATGAAGAATAAGCTTCATATGCTTGTGCTGAGATTATGAAGGGTGGCTTTAAGGACTACAAATCTGGCAGCAGCAGGTTTCCACTAACTTTGGCCCATTCAACATGATGGACACTTGTCTTATTTTTAACAAGTTGCAGATGGTTTAAAACTGCAACAAAACCTTCAGCTTATAAATTAAGAGAATAAATTAAAGCCAGCACAAGCCTTTATATAGATTTTTACAAATAAAAAGAGGTACCAGTCGGTAATAAAACAAATATTTTGATGCATCTAAAGCATCACAGCAACGGCAAGCTGCCAAGAGGAGCCAGAATGATCCCAAAAACATAGAAGAGTCCCATGAGGAGGTTGAGCTTGGCAGTTTTTTGAGGGATCTTGGCGTAGCATCGACTCCTGAACTGTTTTTCCAGTGAGAAGGCCATTGGCAGCGTCAGCAGAGGCAGAGCCATGCTGATGGTGTAACGGGTGGCGAGGATGCAAAAGAGAACGTATGGGACAAAGAGCAGGAGGTTGAAGAGGACGTAAGACAGCGTGGGGCCTATGAGGATGGCCAGGGTGACGATGCCAGCTTGCTTGTCGGAGTCCATGTCTCTCGTGTTGTTGCTGTGGAGAATGGCTTCTGTGTTTAGGGCCAGCGGGACGGCATAGACCAGCGGCAGCACCGACAGGTAGCCGACCTGCACGGCGTGGGCGAACATCACTGCCAGGGGGCCGAAGGTTATGAGGATCACTATGTCTCCCAGGGCCACGTACTTCAGGCCGATACCTGAGGAAAAATAAAGAAAGGAGAGTAGGCACACTTTCAGTACCAGGGGATTAGTTTGGTTTGTATTGTATGATTTAAATGAGAAAGCGCCTTCTTATAGTGAGCCAGGATGTTTAAAGACCATCCAACCATAAACAATACTCTGTTATAAAATTTAGGGACTCAAACTCCCAACCTTAACAAAGTAGCAAATGATAGTGATGCTTAGACGTTATATTACAGAACAAATATGTTATGATTTGCATCACATAATAAAGCAGGAGCTTTACAATATAGTTATCCTATCTTTGTAATTCGAAGAATCCGGTTTTGCATTGATCAAAGCACTGATGAATGCTTTAGATATTTAACAAGCTCCTTTTTGTTAATAACAGTTTAAAACTTAAACCAAGATTTATTTATTTATTTTTGCTGCCCTAATCTAAATGAATTCTCCAAAATTTAGGTTTTTTTACTTGGAGCAAAAATTGCAAATAAAAAGGAAGACGGTGGAGAATTAAATTAATTAAATTTCTGCATCTTTCCAACTTTTGTTTATTTTTTTAAAACAAGTCTTTTTTTTCCTTTCGTTTAACTATTACAAAAAATAACTTCAAAAAAAGCCAAACAACATAATTATTACAAGTGCAATAATCAATGTTTGATTACTGACAAACTGAATATTTTTACCTCTAATCTAGATTCCCAATCAGAGCTAAAAGTTTAAAACAGATTAAACAGATTGACCAAAAAAGGTTTGTTTACACTGGAAAAAAATCTAAATCTAGATCATTCATTTTTTCTTGAATAAAGTGCATTTGTTCTTGGATTGAGGAGGTAAAAGAGGCATTTCGCCAATGGAACAAGACAATTTACACTTAAAATAAAAAAACACAATTTCATTGTCCTATTTCAAGTGCATATTATCTAATTGTCTTATTTTAAGAGTAAAAAGAATCATTTGGCAAACTATCTCATTTACCTACTCAAATTAAGGGTAAATACACTTTTAAAAATTTTTTAAAATATTTGTACTTTTTTCTAGATCGTCTTTCCAGTGTAGGCCATCACACTGGATGGCGTACAAACTACATTTTAAATATAAATTGTCTTGTTCTATTGGCAAAATGTCTCTTTTACCTCCTCAATCTAAGAACAAATGCACTTATTTTGATTTTAAAAAAATGACTTATCTAGATTTGGATTTTTTCCAGTGCAGGATGGTAGCAGCGGTTAAAAATTCTCCAAAGCTCACAGGGAGAGGTGTAAAGAAATAAAAGGAGCATCCTGGGGTTACCAGGATATTTTCTTACATTCCTGTTTTGTTTTATTAAACAAAGGTTATATGTTATAGCTAACTCATATTGTCCAAAAACATCGTCCAGCTGATTGGTCCATTTCTGCTCCCTAACGTTTGCTTGTTTTGTCAAAACTAAAATGAAAATGAAACAAAGCAAAGCAGAACACAGGAATTTCACCTTCTTACCTCCGGTGTATAAAAAGGAGCTGGAAAGCCCGCCAAAGTAAATAAGGGCGAGGTGCTCCAATCTAAGCGTCGACAGGAAGTAGAGCAAAGTGGCGCACAGGCAGCCCAAGGAGTACAGCAAAGCACCAAACATGACAACATCCTGTGGCGCCAGAATTTCATCCACTAGAGTCCTATCGTCGCTCTTCTTGTGGTCAATTCCCTTAGAGAAGTCATAGTAGGTATTGACGAGGTTCCCTGCCCCGTGGACGACGAGGACAGCCACGGCGCACACCATCAGGACCACGAGGTCCACGGAGCCTTCCAGTTTGTACGCCAAAGCACTCCCGAGGGCCACGGGTGTGAGCGAGGCGCTGAAGCTCCACGGCCTCAGCGCTAGAACGTAGGCCGCACACTTGTGCCTGACGTCGGAGGCGACGCGGGCCATTCTGGACACGCGGTTAGCCGTGCTGGAGTGCTGCGGCCTTGAGTTGGACACGTTAGTGTGCCACTGCTGGCCATTGTGACCGTTGGATCCAGCCAGAACAAACGTTTCTGCCCTGCTGGGACTCTGCTCTTCTGCCATCCCTCAGCTGGCGTCCTACAACATGAGTTCCCAAGACTTAATCTGGTGTTCCTGCAGTAAAAACAAACAAAAACACAACAGAAGGCTGAGATTAGATAACAACAAGCAGCCTTGAAACTAGCTTTGACTAAAACTCACTAAATGAGCGCTTGGAATGTATTAAACTAACAGAAAAGTAGCACATTACTACAAAGAGGAAGATAAGCGATTCACTACCAAGTAAAAATCTTAAAATGCTTCCTGCACAATTATATTTAGAACCACATTAGTCACCCTCTTACTAGAATAACCCTTTGCTGTGGTCAAAGCTGCAAACATTGTTTTTTTTTTTCCGGTATTGCACATCCGCACATTGAAACATTTGCACTCATTTAACAAAAACAGTTCGATAAATCCCATCTGTCAACAGATGTTACTAAGGTCTTGCATTGGATCAACTAAAACCTTCTGAACCAGTCTTGTTTTTTTGGGACGAGATTTAATCCCTTATTGAAAATTATTTTTAAAGAACTCCACATATGGTCCTAACACCAGGATGCTGTATTTAGGGAATATTCGCCCTCCAAACAGCTTTTTACATACAGACCTGAAACATTTCTTTCTAATTCTGAGCAGAGAAAAACTCTCGTAAGAATTTGCTGTTAATCCACAATGGAGAACAGCTTTTGTTGACAAATTACATCAAATCCTGATAAAATACTCAAATTTTAAATGTAAATGTTTTAAATGTGTTAAGAACTCGCATGATCATATATCATATCCCAACATCACGTCAAAGGCATTTAATTGATAGCGTACCATTACATTTAGAGTTTAATTCCATTTTTACAACTTTATAGCAACAGAGAACTGTGACGAAAAGTCTCGACCCGTCCTTGAACCGACCTGGAAATTCCCTCACTGAAGGAAAAGGAAGAGGCACCTTGCAAGCTGCAGCAACAGAACTGCAACTAACATGGATCTTTCTAAAAAGATGGTAGCTGATTGCGATAAAGTACCAGGGAAGTTTTACTCTATAAAAAGGATAGTAAAATTGCTTCCTAATTATTACACGACTGACCTTATAAAAAAATAAATAAATAACATTACAACTTTAAGTACACAGGCCGGATCAGTAATAAAAGGAAGTATTTATGACCTTAAGCTATTTAGAGTTGGTGTATAGTTGTTTTGTTTTTAGTGCGAAATTTGTCACCTTAAGGTGACAAGTTTCTAAAGTGGCCAGAAGGATTAAAAGCCTGCAACATTGAGCACCTAATAGCAGCACAGTAAAGGTAATCTTAAAGATTGAGAGACATCTGGCACCTCCACAGCAGTATGCCTACCGCAGAGCACCTATGGAGCAACCTTAAGGCTGGGTGTGGGTGGGGGGTTCACTAAATAAGCTCTAGAAATAGTCCTGGAGTGCAGGTCAATGTCAGATCCCAGTCACCCCAGGGGTCAGGCAACTGTACTGATGAGGGGGAACGCCTCGCAAAAGCCAGAACCCAGAATATTAATGGGAAGGCCCAGCTTGGTGAGGTTTATCTAAAGGAAGCCAAGAGGTAAAGATCACCAACAGAACCAGGCTCGGCCTACAGTCGGTCCTCCATTTTTAAGAACCTCAGGGTGGCAGAGAGGGAATCCACCATCATGTGATGTAGCATGGACCACATACAGTGTTTTAGGTCCAAGTCTGTATGTTTAAAGTACATCAAAATTAGGATTACAGTTTGTGTCTGCAATACAAGATGGCTTCTTGGGTTATGAGAGATATGATTCTGATTGTCTTGATTGATTCAGCAATTAGCAGGTCTAATCCAAAAAAAAAAAAAAGACATTGATTATTTTCTCTACTCAGGTACATTAAAAAGGAAATTCAGAAGCTTTTTAACAATGTGAGCTAAAGATGTTTCCTAAAGTCACAATGTTCAGGTGCAATGATCAAGAAAATAGTGACAGACCCCTGGAAAGTATAAATATAGTCTTTTAAAATCCTGTTAGATTTAATTCTGCTGGTTCCAGCACAAAAGCTCTTTGATAAAACACAAATCAATATCGGATACTCCTGGATCATAATAGTCTAACAGGGGGCAGATATTTTCAAATGGGTTGACAAGTTATAACATATAAACATAAATATGTGCCTTGAAGCTGTGATGTTGTTTGTCTAAAATATTTCTGAAAGGATTGGTATCTGTTTTTGTTGAAGAGTGGCGCTTGTTCAATAGTTGTTAAAATAAAAAAAAAAAAAAAAATAAATGCAAGAAACCCAATAAGACTTTTCCTATAGCTAGGAGACTCGGATGAACTGACACTGAGCTTATAAGATTAAGGCTAATAGGCTAGCCGCCTAGCTAACTTGGAGAGGAAAATGAATGTGATCGCAGGAACTCTTACCTGCTACGTCTTTATTATCCGACCCGAAAAATATTTCCTTACACTTAAAATCATAGTTTAAGCTCAACAAGACAGGCGCTGCAAAATGCAACGACAAAGTCTACGTGTCAACTTCGAGGGTAAAGTCACTGGTTGGCTACGGAACGCATCCCTCCGCTACATGTGGGACACAATATGGTGACGGAAGAAACAAATCTAACAAAAATATGGTTCCGCCCTGAAAATGTAATATTAAAGGGATTTTATTGACGAGCAATTGTGTACATTTTAATCTATAAATAGTTCCAGTTTGTTTGAGACCGTTAGAAATACACAAAGAAAACTACAATAAAAATATAACAAAATTAATTTGTGGCTCAATAGGCGTATAATAAAGAAAAACATTCCGTTATCTGTATACACAGCTAAATATTGGGCTCTATTTAATTTGAAAAGTCCAGATAATTAATCCACATCATAAATAAATGCACCTGTTGAGACGCAGTATTGTTGTAAATGTGTCTTTTCTATTAGAAAAAAAAAGTGATGATGTACCAGATTTCTGCACCATAAAAGTTATGCAGATCTGTAATCAAAAACTTGTTTGGCAGAGAAGGAGTAGAAATAGGGACATCATATAAAGGATCTCTTCTAGTTTATGTTATTTTGCTCAAAATGTTTAGCCTAATCTTAGGGTATTTTGTTGTTTTTCTCATCCCAATAGAAAAACTAATTAAATGGTAATTTTTTTATTGTGAATTAGTTTTATTTTATTTGCTTAGAACCTAGCCTTGATACTAATCAGTAGCGTTGAAGTTCGACCAACTTTGTCTAAAATAAGCCTGTTTTAAATTACGTTACTGTAACTATTCACCTTGTGTTCTGCAATCAAAAATAATAAAGCCACACAGCTCTGCTCGCGTGGACAGTGTGGTTATTTTTATTTGAACACAGTTATAAGATCATTTGTGGTAAATTTATCTGAAATTGAAATGAGCAAATACTTAAAAATAAGCTGAAAGTAATAGAAAAAAATCTATGAATTCTGACAAGTTGGGAATATGAAACTGAATGACATGAAATAAAGGGATTGTTCAGTGTGAATAACAATAACATTCATTATTGCTTAAGGGTTTGTGAACCATTTTCTAAAAATATCATTTTTCAGTATGTTTTAAGCCCGCCCTGTCAATACTTAGTTCATGCTTCCTATTCTTGATCTACACATGCACTTTACGCCTCACAATCAGATGAAAGGTGTCAATAGCTGTAATAGTTTCTTAGCAAATTCAGAAGCACACATGCTGTCAGCAGGCGCAAACAATCCAATGCAACTTACCTGATCTCCACAATGACTGTTTAATGTGACAAATATGTGGATCAGCACAATCTGATGAAGTGAATATAATCTGAGATGTTCTAAAAAGAGCTTGTATCTGAAGCATTAAGCGCATTTGGATACCCTGCACGAAGAACACCACACACAGCTCAGCTATCACTGGGAACAGAGGAAATGCTGACATGCCTTTCGGTTCCCTAAGCCTACACATAGAACAACAACAACCTTCTTTAAACATGAGCAAATAAAGACCATATATGGGTATTCATTTCAGTTGTAGTGAAACGAAGCAGCAAGGACCTCCAGCAACAACAAAAGTCCATATTTTATTTATTCTACAGTAAATTAGTTCAAACCAAAATTTAAATAAAACTTTTTCAACAAAAACAAGGTAAGTAGCTGTTAATTACTTAATCACCTGCAAGAACATCAAAATATTGGTACAGAAAAGATTACCAAATCCAGCGATTAGCTTTTAACAAACCTTTGGTAGACAGAAGTGTTCATGGCATCAGACATGTAACCTGTACCATGTGGAGACTGCTAAGAGGGTTCATCTAAACTCATTTCCTTCTATGATAGGTACAACTCTTCTACATGATTGTTTACCCACACCAAGAAAGTCTAGCTGAAAAAATACAACCTGTCTAGGACAATGATGGTGCCTTTCAAATTTCCTCCATCATTGAATCAATCCTCACATCCTCTATCATCATCTGGTACACTGGTGCCACCCTAAGGACAAGGGCAGACTGCAGATAGTCAAGTGGAAACCTTCTTGGCAGTAAACTGGGTTCTGAAAAAAAAAATCAAAAGTCATAAAAAAAATTTGTAAATATCAGCTCTGTGTTTTCATTCATATTTAGAATTAATAGAATGGAATATAATCTTCCAGTAAACCTGAAAATGTTGCATGCAACGCACATGTGAAACCATAAAATGCATTAGATGCTCATGTGAAGCAGTGATGTTAGATGAGATACTAGTTTGAAGTCCCAAAATTTAATATGATGACCATGGAAAAAATTTATTATATACCATTGTTTTTTGTGAGTTTTTGCAAAAATAATTGATGCTCAGTTAAAACATATAAACTTTGCATGATGCATATGTAAACCCATAAAATACATGTGAACCATTGCTTCATGCAATGATCATGTTAACCCAGGTATGTTATGCTAATTTGAACCCATAATCTATACGTGATGCACATGGAGCAGTTAAACTACATGCAATTTTCACATGAAACCAAAAGATTAAATGTTATGTGGCCACTGGCCATTTATATCACTGGTCATTTGTGTCAGTCAGCAGCCAAACAGGATTATGCTATAATGTATGTCTGACAGAAAACCGGAGAAGTTATGAAAACTGGGTTTTTGTACATTTCATTTTCACCCATACTGCCCCTTAAATCTACAGTGTGTAACTTTTAGCGACATCTAACGTCCAGACTGCAGACTGCAGCAACATGAACATCTCCCCCCCACCGCTTCTCCCCCCCAACAGTACGGCGAGCGTTACGGGACAAAATGTCTTCCACGACGTCCGCATCACCTACCTTCTCAAGTGATGAGGTTTGTTTACATAGATAATTTTAATACTGCCATCTATTGTTCAGTACCGTCTCAGTTCATCTCTCTCAACTTGCCGTAGTTACTTTCGAGCGTAATGGGCGATCTCGCAATCGCTAGTTTGTTGGCTCTGCGCTGCCGTAGCGCAAAGATGTCTGCCTCCATGAGACCCGCTCCTATGTAATTATAAATAACGAATTCTAAGGCAACGCAAATATTAAGGTTAAGAGGCTGAGCTCGTAGATGATGATAAATAACATAGTTATGTATAATATATTACATTTCTGACTGTATATCCCTGTAATTATTACACACTGTAGCTTTAATGTCATTGGCACTGGACTTTAGTCCTGCTAATCTTATTCTTGAAGGCATATGACACACTTAAACTTTGCATGATACCCATGTGACCCCATAAACTACATGCAATGATCTTACTTCCCTTCAGTGTCTTCCTGTTAAATCCAAAACATAATCTAAAATCATTCTTCTTACATATAGAGTCCTAACTAACCAAGCCCCATCTTATAATAGATATCTGATTGTTCCTTATGTACCCAACAGAGCACTTTGCTCTCAATCTGCAGGTTTACTAATGGTTCCTAGAATTTCTAAAAGTAGAATAGGAGGCAGATATTTTAGTTACCAAGCTCCTCTACTGTGGAACCAACTACCAGTTTTAGTCGATGAAGCAGACACCCTGATTACTTTTAAGGCTATGCTTAAAACATAAGGAACAATAATATCTGTGATACAAGATGGAGCTTGGCCATTTAAGGCTTTATATGTGAGAAGAAGAATTTTAAATTCTATTTTGGATTTAACAGGATTAAATGACAATGTGAACCCATAAACTACACACAATGCTTATATGAACCCATGAAGCATGCAGCACCCATCTAAACCCATAAACTACATGCAATTCCCATTAGAACCCAAGAAACATGCAATGACCATGTTAACACATAAACTACATGCAATTCCCATGTAAGCTCATACAGTTCATGCAATTCCCATGTGACCCTACAAACTATATGCAATGCCCATGTGACCCATACAATACAGTACCCATAAAACACAAAATGCCAATATGCACCGATAAAGTGTGCAATGCCCATCTGAACCCGTTAACTACATGCAATGCACATGTGAACCCAAGAAACATGCAATGACCAAGTGAACCCATAAAGTACATGCAATTCCCATGTAAGTCAATAAACTTCGTGCAATGGCCATGTGAACCTTCAATGCCCATGTGAACCCATAAAAGACAATACATTTAAAACCTATCAGCTACATAAAATGTCCATGTGAACTCATACACATCATGTAATGCCTATGGGAAACCATAAACTACATGCAACACCCATGCGAACCCATAAAACATGAACTGAAAGTGTAAACATATAAACTGCATACAATGCCCATATGAAGCCATAAATTATGCAATGCCATCTGAACTAATAAACTACAGGCAATACGCTGTCATGCTCCAGGCCTGGGTTCAGGGATGGGTTGTCTCTCTCTCTCTCTTCTCTGCAGGGTGGACTGGCAGGTGCTCCTCATCACTGCTGATTTCAGCCCTTCTTAAGGAGCAGAGACCAGGAGGAGGGCGTCAGTTCTTTCTCGCTTCCAGCGTGGTACATGACCCAACAAAACTTTCCGAGTTTCATCCGAACCAGACCTGATATTTTGTCTCTGTCTTTTCCTCCTTAGAACCTGAAATCCAAGCCAGAGAAATCACAAGCCAGGGAGCTGGACTCCTCTGATCGCCTGCCTGTCCACCCTCAAAAACCATCTGCACAAGAGAGACTGAGGGAACCGCTGGATTGCACCGGACCACAGACTTCACCCCCCCTGGCTCCGGGCAAGCCTCCCACTCTGTGAGTTTTGAGCTCTCCACATTCTTACTGCCACAGGCTGTTTCTGACCACCTCCTTCGCCCTCCAAGCAGGCCAGAAGATACCAAACCAGTCATCACCTGTCTACCAGCACTTTACAATAAACCAGTTAAAACTAACTGTCTGTCTCCGTGGTTGCTCTGATCCTGAGTCGTTCTTTTCTATCATGACAGAAAGAACTGACCAGCCTGACTCAGGGGCGCAACTTCGGAGCGCAGTTTCCCACCAGGGGTTATTGCTAGGACAGCATGAGGCTCTATTACAATCTATGAGCCAACAGCAGGCACAACTTTGTCAAGCCATGAGTTTACTGACTCACGAGATTCAGGACCTAAGAGGACAATTAAGCATGAATCAACCTACCTCTCCTTCTCCCCCAG